AAAATCACCAAGCCAGCAGGGTGGGTGGGGAAATTCTGGGAGTTAAAGTCCACACATCTTAAAGTTGCTGAGGTTGAGAAACACTGCTATAGACTAGCACAGCTCTTCTACAATGTTTACTGTTAAGTCCCCTCCTCCCCCTACCATGTTCAAATTGAAAATATGGTTTCTTGTAAAGTAAGATCATTATTCCATGTCCTCCATCATGGGATGATAGAGAACAGGTCTTGGTCTTGTTCTGTATGACATCCCTTTAATGTGCTTGAAAAATCGGTCAGTAGAACCAATTACCAAAGGAGAATGTGTTCAAGCAGAGGCTGGACACCCCATTTGTCAGGTTGCTTTAAATTGGCTTTCTTTATTGAACTGGGGATTGGATGTGAGATCTAACTTGGCCCTTGCAATGCTGAGTCTGTGATGCTAATAACGAGGCCACCATTGGGCATCTGTCACGTTTTGAAGGGTATTTGCAATCAACGCAAAGCCTCTGGCAAAGTGAAAGTTTTGAAACACTCCTGGCTAAGTATTTCCTGGGCTCGTTAGAGAAGGAGGTGGTAGGGAAGGATTTGACCCATTCCAGCATAGCACAGACGTGGGGAGGCGAAAGAATTGCATTTATCCCCTCGTTGCTCAGAAATCATAGCCAGATGGACCTATGGAAAGTCAAGATGGAAAGCCATAGTGAGCCTGGTAATTGCTGATAAATGGTCCTCTTGCTTATCTAAGGGCCAGAGCCGCTGCTCCATTGAACAGGAATTGTACCCACAAAAATATTTGTTAGGGATTGTTTGAATGTTGATTCCTGCCAGAGGTATCTGGGGAAGAGGGCAAATGACACAAGCCGTATTGTGATACAAACTCTACACCTTTCAAAAGTGCATCAGGATGTTGCGTGCGTTACATCGATACAATGTTGCTTCTGTTGTTTTGATGGAAGTACTGTAGGATGCAGATCAATAAAAAGAGATGTCCCCCTGGGGCTGCACTCCCCCAAAGTCCACATGGCCCCAACCTTGCTGTCACATAGGAAAGCCTTAAAAAATGGATTATTCCAGCAGGCCTTGGGCCAGGACAATTTGTGAACTTGCATCTGAGATGTGCAATTTTAATTATTTTTGTTCTCTGATGTGTGTCTTGGGCTTTCATTTTTATTAATATTTTATTTAATATTAGTATTTTATTCATCTTGCTATTGACTTTTTTCTTTGCGTTTAGTTTATAATGTGTTTTTACATTTGTGCGTGCTGCCTTAATTTGCTGCAATTAGACAGTTATAGCCACAACACCAATAAATGTTTAGGACCGTTATAGACCCAATCCAGTGCACGTACAGTCAGTGTCTTTGAACGCAGCAGATTAAGACATAGATGTCCAGTTCAAGCCATAATGAAGTAATGGGTGTCATATGGTCATTGTGCAAAGGATGTGAATTATGCAATTTGTGTGATGATATTGTGACATATGTGATACCATTTGCCCCCCTGCTGGAAGTGTTGTGTTCAGACGCTGTACATGCAGGAATTGATTTCTGTTATATCTGTGATAATCAAATCCACAGCCTATTTCACCCAATGCATGTTTAGAGAGATCTAGAATGCTAATGATAAGATGCTTGTGCAGACCAAGAAGAATAAGGTTCAAAATCCCTATTGAGCCACTGTCTCCATAAAGTAAGTACAGTGGTACCTCGGTTTACGAACTTAATTCATTCCGTGACTCTGGTCGCAACCCGAAGCAAATTTCCCCATAAGGTTCAATGTAATTACCGTTAATCCGTTCT